ACAGTGCCTGGAAGCGCCCAATGTCGATTCTGTTCGACGCTCTGCCCTTCTGTCCAGACAGGGTTTAGTGTAGTGTCCAGGGCAGGGCTGGGGGATGGCAGTCCTCCATTGCACTGCTACAGGGGCCATAACTCCTGCATTTGACTCTATGGTACCCAATTTTGTGTATATAATTCATATTTTACCTCGAACATTTCTTAGTACCTTTATGCTCTCCCAACTCTTGGGGCCAAGATTGAGGTATGTGGGAGGGAGTCTGAGGTAAATGGGTAACAGAAGCAGTGGTTCCAAACCTTTTTCTTTCTGTAGCCTCCCACCAATAAGTAAAAATTTACATGGGACCGTTTAGTGGTTGCCATCCTATGTGAGAGATAACTATATGTAGATACTGTAGGTGAGAGAAAATTTGGTTTGATTCGACGTCATAATTTTCATATTACTCCATGGCCACACAGAAAGTACCCTGTGGCCGCCATGTTGGGAACCCCTGGTATAGAAGTCTGCTAGTGATGGGCTTGGGGAAATGGGTGCTTCTCAATTTTGTGGATGACACTCTAGGGGGCGGATATCAGTAAAACTAATAACAAGATCAAATTTCTTTGATAATTAACTAAAAGGATAGAAAAATGCAAGTTATATATATATATATATATATAATATAATATATATATATATATATAATAACAAAGATAATTGTTTTTCGGCTCTAGTCATCACAAGATCATGGTCGAAAATGATGCGTCTTATTAAAATCGAACTTCCTAGGACAGGCGTCGGCAACCTTTTGAGTATAGTGTGCCAGTTTATAATTACTACCTTCTTAACCTTGCATGCCAGTTTTTTCAGCACTGTATACCTAAGTGTATTTTCCTGCATATGCATAACATAAATGTAATACTTTTGTAGTATTTAGTATTCTTTGTATCAAAAAAGGTGTTTTATAATTTTAGATTTATACTCACCATATTAATATCTGGACACACTGAGCTTCAAACAACCCTCAGAGTGAACTGTTGTAAGCCTGCTGCAGTGAGGACTGAGGGTATGCTGCACGTATGAAAACATCTTGCTCACATTGGTATATAGATCCAAATGCTGATAGCAATGCCAAGGCTACTTTCTTCATGCAACTGAATTTATCAGACAGTGGTGTCCCGGAACTTAATATGGAGGCTGCATGATCATTTGAAGTAGATTCCAATATATTGAAGTAGATTTTAAAATTTAGCTGACCGTAATAATTCTCTCTCTCTCTCTCTCTCTCTCTCTCTCTCTCTCTCTCTCTCTCTCTCTCTCTCTCTCTCTCTCTCTCTCTCTCTCTCTCGTTTTATTTTGCTCTTTAACTTTTTTTTTTGTTTGTTCCTCTAACTCACATAGCGTGCCAAAAGCTCTCTACGTGCCAAGTCTGGCATTCGTGCCAAAGGTTGCCGACCTCTGTCCTAGGGACTGTTTATTGGCGTCGACACCATCGCAATAGTTGGCTTACCATATACACATCAAACGGATCGAGAACTACATTAGTATGGCATGTTATAATACTGCAATAAAGCAGTAAAAATTGCCAGTTACGCATGTTTTCGTTCTACGGAACCTATTGTTATAGGTATGAAATAGCGTTTACCTTGTTTCCGATATTACGTTCTGGCAAGAACAGTAGTTGTCAACAAGGAACAACGTCAACAAACCGTATCCAGGGGAACCAGAAATGTTAAAATGGGCCATGCCAATGATCTGGGCGTTATCATGATCCACACACCACACAGGATTATTCTTAGGAGCAATGGCATTCAACATTAATTATTAAGCTTACTAATATTTGGTAAGGAGTAAATTATTAGAATGCATGTATCTCTATTCTTGATAAGCGAATTAATGATTGTGAACCGTCCACTTTTATGAGAAAAATGAACGTTGTGCCATTTTCCTATTCGTATACCTAAGCTTAAGCTTTTTCAGTTCATCGTGAGGAAAGTCGATAAAGATATGCATCGTCAAAAGGGGACGGGGATGGGTTTGTAATTCCTGTCTTTCCTAAAATCAGAGGCGTAGGTCACTTAACACAGTACCACTAATCCCTATTTAAGTAGGAGGATTAAGGTCCGATTATTCGAAGGGCGACCCTCTTCCTTGAAGAGAAAAGACCTTCTCCAGACCCTCTTTGAAACAGAGGGACGAACTCCACGAGTCATCACCGCACATGACCACTGTATAATAATATGCCCTGACGAGACGCAAGCTGAGGTATTATTCTCTGATAATAATGTCACCATCCATGACACCACAATTAAAAGCCAAGCTAACCCAGGTACTCCGGGACAGAGAACTTGTGAAAGAAACACCAGAAAATATTCAAGAGGAAGTCAAGAGAAATAAACCTGGCACCAAAGGAGAGGACACTTTCCTTATGAAAAATCGCTGCATGACCAAATGCAGGGTAATTTTCTATATTACATTCTCCAAACCGACATCGACGATTATGGTATTACTGGATTCTTCTCAATGCCTGCAATGCAAATGTGTAGGTTTTATTGCGCGGAAACCGTTAGCGACAAACTTGGCCCCGATAGCAGGGGGACGCATGAGAGGTTCCAAGGAAAATGCGAGGTTAAATAACACTAATAATATAACACACGCGACATAAGGGTGATAATGCACATCATTATTCACTGTAGAGAGCTGCATCCCCTGTGACCCCCGCCGAGGAAACAAATAATAATCACGACAGGATGAAGCGCACATGAACTAAATGCGAAGCGGACACTGTACTATATAACCTAGGATTTGTAAGGTACTAACGTGATTGCTCGATGCTACTAAGGGCAGTGAGGGTTCTCAGCTGATGCTGAAGATGATGGAGGCGGCTGGTGGCGACCTCGCGTACAATGGCCGTCGCGTAGCACGCACACCCTCAACATTCGGCCATCGCGGTGTCTGTGGCGGCAGGTCTGTACCGCGACGGCGGTAGGCCCGTACCCTGCATGTTATGCACCCAGATCTCGTTTCCAGAAGACGGGACCGAAAGTCTATGTTTTTAAACAAAAGATGGCGATATAATGTCCAGTAACATAATGGGATAACTTCTGCCATCTTGTATCTAACCCTGATATACGTCTTGCTGGTGTATGTATATCATTCCACTCCAACATCTTACATAACCGCCACTCCCGAAGCCAGCGGCGACCCTTCGGGAGCTGCGCATTACCCGCCTAGGAGAGCGGGCCACCACCGCTCTAGCGGTCATCTGGATTATACTAAATCTTCTCAGTATACAATGCTACTATACCACGGGTTAGTATGCTGCTTCTGTGGGAATGTTCCAATACTTCGGTAATTTTCTAGTATACGTCCGCCATATGCAGACATCGACGATTTTGGTATCGTTGTGTAAAGCTGTATCCTGCCGTACATACGTGGTGGACACTGTCTTCCAAGGCGGGGGTTGGGGGCCGTAATTTTAACTGTATTTGTAAATGTATACTGTCAGTTTAGTGTATTATTAGTGTTATTCAACCCCGCCATTTCCCTGGAACTCTTCAAGCCCTCCCCTGCTATCGGGTCCAAGTTTGTTGCTAACGGAAGGTTTCCACGTAATAAAACCTACACATTTGCATTATAGAGAGTGAGAGAATTCCAACGATATCGGCAATGTCTGCTTAGTGTACGTAATATAGGAAATTACCAATGGAGTTCTCAGACCAAAAGATTGTATCCCTTCAACTTATTCATAAGCCCCAGGAAAATAGAACCTGAAAGATTCTCCAATATCACACAGTGTATGAACTATTACACATATGGACACTTCAGAAGCAACTGTCATGACGATGATGATGATGTGTGTGTATGTGTGTGTGTGTTTCTATTTCTATTTTTATTTCTATTTGTATTTTCATTTGTATTTTCATTCTTTTATTTGTAATTTTGTTCGTATTTTATCATTTTTATTAATTTATTTGTTTTTACTTTTATTCTTACTTTTACTTTCATTTTCATTTGTATGTGTATTTTCTTTCCATTTTCAATTTCATTTTCTATTTTTTATTTTGTTTTGTAGTCTGTTTTATTTTTATTTGATTAATTTTTCTATTTATTATTTTTCTATGACCTTGCAGATAGGCTCGTCTAGCAGATTCATCTATGGTTAAATTTAATTCAAAACTCCACGAAGTCCACATTTTGGGCCTAAACCTCGAAAAAAAAACATTAAGTGAAGATTTTGTCCATCAGTCGAAAAAAGGTACTGTGCTGCATCGGTAGCGTTCTCATCTAGCGATTTGCCGACCTGCGTTCGATCCCGCGCGCTGCCAGTGGATGGTAACTCCGGTCATTTCTTGCACACAGTGGGTGATTTAAAAGCCAATAAACGGACATGTCACAGCAAAGAACATTTGTGACAAATGGAATTAGAATATTTTGACATAGGTGATATAGATATATTTTTGTTGCTTTTTTTAACTTAAATTGACATGAACATTATTTTATGCATGTGCGTAAACTGTGGCGTATTCTCCCGAACTTTATCCTACCAGAACACTTGGCTTATTAGTTAGTTAATATCATCAGCTAAGTTCATTAGAGGCGAATACCTCGTGGGATTAGAAAATTAAACTTTTCAAATACTTTAAAATCTGTGAATAAATAATGTCCCTTATGCGAAAAATAAATAAGAAATATTTTAACTGTAGAGTTATTAGACATGGCAGGGTTGGGGCACCGATTGTTGTGAATTGCAAAACTATAGCTTGCTACTTGCTTATTACAATCTTTTCTTTATTACGCTAAACGACGAAGCAAATATGGTTTCCTGCTTAAAATCAATATTAAGCGTCATTTTAAAATCAACCGAAAAAAGAAAATTGTTCAGTATACGATTTTGTGTCCCACAAACACATCTTAATCACGCATTCACAAATGGTATAGTTATCCCTTCAACGATTTTCTTTGTCTATTATACATGTTTTTTTTTTTTTCGCAACACTTCACATTCGCAGTAACATCTGACA